TCTAATAAACACTAAATCAATCATTTGTCCATCAGCTGCTTTGAAAATAGCTATTTTCTTTGTGACAAAGTCCTGCAAAGATTCTTCTACTCATTTTTTCAATTTACGCAATAAAGTAGGCATCGTATGATTAAATATATGTTCTTCATGCCAGTACCTTGCATTTAATTGTTATCCATCCATCATAAGTTCTAATGATGTCACTCATTGCATCCATCCAAATATTTGCTTTTTTCGACACACATCTGATAAACTAATTTTAAACAGAATTTTTATGAACATTATTTATGAAAAATAAATATCAACTGCTTCTAAGAAGGTCGAAGGTGCTTCTTTTGAATTGTCTTCAAATGTAAGACATGATGGAATTTGCCAGTTTCTAGCATCTCCGTGTGCTTGTTTGTGCAACAACCATGATTCCATTTCCCTCAAGTACTCGTTGCTCAGTATCTTTTACTTTCTCTTCAATATTTGAAACTATATCCTTGACATCTCTCATGACCCATCTCGATCAGGTTTTCGTTCAGTTTCCCTGATCCTCGAGCAAATGCTGAGATGGCCCCTGTTTTGCTTTTGGACATAAATGTAACTTCAAATTAACTTCTCTCCATAGCACGTTACACACAGTTTTTAACTGTTTTTGACGTAAATAAATAAATAAATAATAAAGACATGATCAAAATTGACTTCATAATCTGATTTTATACTTTCGTCTATGTTTTATACTTTCTTATAAATACTAGTTATTTTTTATCCTGTTCATCCGACGTTCTCTATATTAATTCGTTTTTATTGTTAACTATTTTTAGCTTGTGTAACCTCAGAGTCGACCATTGCAAAAGCAAATCATGAAAAGAGTTCACAACTTCCTTAATTTCATCTTTACATTCTTCACGGATTTTACGTAATTCCTAATGCATTTTTTCTTTAAATGACAAATTTTGTTATCCAACAAATTCCCAAATTAACAAAATCTTCTTTCAAAATTTATGAACACACAAGTTCACGCGGCCTCATAACGATGATTTCTTAGAGTATTTTGATGTTACATTCAAAATATCGTCCGCATAATGAAAAAGGATGTAAGAGATTTTGATAATCCATTGGACAAATACAACAAAGAACAATTTTGTTTGTTTCGTTTTCGTAAAAACATCGTTGAAAATAATCTTGTACCTCTCATCCAAAATAGAAGAAATGTAAGAGAGGTTTACCAATCTCTTTTAGATGCTGATGAGAGTTTTACGATTTAATTAATAATAGTATTAAGATTTTACGCAACATAATTCTTTCAGGTTCGTTGTATAAGATTGGACGAGATATTTCATAGCTTGTGCAACCTTATGAAAGAAATGAAATTTCTTTATATATTTGAGGTAATTTTATTGTTGATAGGATAAATGTAAATAAATTAAATTACAACTTTTAGAGTGTTTGCATTGATATCTATAAAGTTAATCAAGTTACAATGTGACGAATAATTTTTGTACATTCAAAAACGTTGGTACAAAACATACTAATTTTGTACAGATTAAATCAGATCGAGAGATTTTGTATTTTGAACTGATAAAAAAATGCTCATCTATACATGCTTCGTAAAATTGCGTTTAATGTCAATTTAACAACAAAACACGGTTACCACTGTTAAACACTGTCAGATGGTGGCAATGCAACGTTGCAACGTTTCCGATACTTTAAAAAACATTTTGGCTCACATAAGGGACGTCTACTATACGCGCAAGTTTTTTTAATATGCATTGTGAACTGATACGTGCCGTTCCGAGTCGAAGACGAAGTGTCTTAACGTGCCGTGCTATTCAGCGCTGGGTGAGAACTAGGGAGCTCGTGAATCAAGAAAACTTGCGCGAGTTAGAATGAAACAAGCGTCATAGTGACAACTCACTTTGAGGAATTCCTTATTGCATAAGCATTTCATTCTTCCTTAAGGATCGACTATTAATTCGGCTCTTCGACTGTTATTATACATCGGTGTTAGAATCTGATTACTAACATTATGTATTTCTAGGAAGATATTAGGTCACTGACTGTGAAATTAGGTTATTTTCCCGTTTCCTCCAATCTCCGCGTGCATGCATATATTGCTTCCCGTGTCAGCGCGGGTTCACGTATTAAAATACTTGCGTCGCCGCCAATGAATTTCGATCAAGCACTGAACGTCAGTAACCTTTAACAGCGTGGGACTCTGCAAGAATGTCTTCTGCATCAATTTTTCTGGCTCGAGTACATTTTAGGTATGGGCTTATTATCAGGCTCTTAGTAAAATCAAATAAACCGCTTACTTAACATCTTATTTTTTTTTCAATAAAATAATTCATTTGGAAGAGACATAGGGCAGCGAAACAGTTAACAGTTTGATTCGGAAATGTACACCATATTTTGATTATACTTACTTTCTAGAAGTTTCTGTTTTCACTGGCTCTTGAATTATCAGAATTGTCGTTCTCGTTGTCCATTCTAGCTCTCTGCTGCACTGGATGATATTCTATTTTGTCAAATAAAATGAGAGTGAAACTTTAGACGTTACAGCCTGCGTTAACATTTAAAAAAACAAAGGTACAAAAACAAAGAGAAAAAGATTCGAGTGTCTCCTAGTTTGAACTTACTATAAAATAAGTCACTGATTGAATGGTTTATAGCTCAGAGTGAAATATTCATATTCAAAGGCATTTTTAATTAATACATACCTTTAGAACTATTTTTTTCTTTTTTGTACATAGAAAGAACAACTGCACAATATATGCACATGGAAATAAATAGATACTGCAGAGTTGAGACGAGATTAAATTTACATTTTTTTATTATTAAAACTTCGTTTTGATACCATAGATGATATGCAGTCTAAAATCATTCTATCTGACAGCACTGATTGTTTCGACTGACGATTTAAACAATGCGAACGGCGTCTTCATGGGAATTGACTACTGTTCTGAGAATGTTTCTATAGTGCGGTTTTTATAACTTTGCTCCTTAAGATCAAACTTAACGGTGGCATGTCACTGTATTTCGCGTTTCTCATTCTTGCTACTAGATGTCGCATGATCGCGACTATATCAAGCACTGGTCGATAGGGTCGCAACATCTAACGGACGACAGGGCCGAGATAGACGCGAAATGCAGTGACATAATGCCACTGTGGAGGCGGGACATAAGGCGCAAATTTATAAACATCGCACAAAATATCGTCGGCTGGACAGTGCTGCACCATGTTAACACGCTGCGAAGTAGTTTGAAAATGTTAAATTTTCTTCGACGCATTGTTCTTTTCTCTCCATGGCGTTCGCGGGTTTTTGAAGGTAAATTACACTTCATATATACACAGATTTCATTCCAAGCAATCCGCAAACCTTAATTTGCGGAAGAATGCGGTACATATTTGAGAAATCGGTGGTGGCGACAATATAAAGCGGTTTTATTTACAGTCGATGTTTACAAATAAGCGTTTTAAAAAACTTTTGAAATTTATTGTATTATCCATATTGTTTGCGCTGTTGCGATGAATAGAACATAAATTCACTGAACAAAAGGTTACTTATCTATGTCACTTCTATTTCTGAAATTCATCAACAATGTGTTCATCGGGAATATCTACATACCCATCTTCAAAGCAATATAGTAGAACGTCGATTGTCCGTTTTTTATAAAATAATAGGTTCGCTATAACTACAAAGGAATCGTTCCATGGCGATTAGCAATGTATGGTAACGGTTCTTTATATGATCGTTATTTTTAGTTAAATAGTTCATTTATTTTGGTGACAGACAGCGATGCCGTATTGGGCAGAATACAACTAATTGGACCAATGATCGTTATTTTTAGTGAATTGTTCATTTATTTTGGTGATATAGACAGCGATGCCATATTGGGCAAAATACCGCTAATTGGACAATTGGCTAATACAAGCGTCGACTTGCGGGAGGAAATTCACTTTGCAGGATTCCGTCCATTGGGTGGAATTTATCGTTTCAAGGGAGAATTCCTATGTATCAGGTGGATGCTACGTAAATTAGAATGTGTATTGTAATTAATATTTCTTTATTCGTTTCTTACAATGGTGCTTTTGTTATGCGTCTACAAATTAATCTTTTAGACATTATTTAAACCTATTCAAATTATGAAATAATTATTTCTACCCTGTAGTCGTACGCTCCAAATTTACGCAGTTGGATGCTAAAATGTGTATAATATTTCATATTTCACATTTTATGATAATTTATTATATATTTATGTTATTTTATTTTGAATATCGTTTAATTGTGTTCAAGGTAAAAAGGAAACATGAGCGATCATTGATAGTTGTAATGTCGCTCAGATTACACGATAATGGCGGCACGGAAATAAAAACGAATACTTTTAAGTATTTGTAGAATATTACAATGCCTCATGGTTTAATTATACCGATCCATTTGTTTTCTAACGCACCAGTATTGTATTATTTATTAGTTTATAATATTTTTTCTTGCAGTCTGCTAATTTGTCGCTGCAAATGTTCTATGATTTCAAATGAGTTTTACAAAAAATAATTCGAAGAGAAATTATGGTCTAAATAGTATTGCATAACCATTACTAATGCCGAGAAATTACGTGCTCCTATAACACCGCTAGTTCTTTAAATATCTCTCACATCGTTGATATTTACTTTGCGGACGAATATTTACATTTTTACGTTATTATATATGATTGCATGTTTTCTGTATCTTTAAACCTCAAAGGAAAAAAATCAGAATGTCGTTACTGTAATGTAAATCAGTTCGTTTAGCGCCACATGTATGATTAAAGAAAAAAGTGGACCCGTTTCACAGAAAATTGCGTTTGAAATTTCTCAAAATGAACCTCGTAGAAATAGTATTCTAATATTACAATATTTTCTGGT